TCTTCTAAGTTGTCCAGGTAGTTGGCATGTAGCTGTTCACAATATACTCTTCTAATCCTCTGTATTTCTATGGTATCGTATTTCTCCTCTTTCACTTCTGGTTTTCTTTATCAGAGCTTTATCCCTTTGTTTCTTAGTGAGTCTAGCTAAAGGTTTGTCAATTTTGTGTCTAATTCATTTCTTCTGACTCTGATCTTTATGTCCTTCCTTCTACTGACTTTGGGCTTCATTTGTTCTTCTTTTTCTAGTTCCTTCGGGTGTAAAGTTAGACTGTTTGATATTTTTCTTTTTTCTTGAGGTAGGCCTGGATTGCTATAAACTTTCTTCTTAGTATTGTTTTTGCTGCATCCCATAGGCTTTGACATGTTGGACTGTCATTTGTCTTCAGGTATTTTTTTATTTCTCCTTTGATTTCTTCATTGACTCAATAGTTGTTCACTAGCATGTTGTTCAGTCTCTACATATTTTTGAGTTTTCCAGCTTTCTTCTCATAGTTGATTTGTAGTTTCACACCACTGTGATTAGAAAAAAATGCGTGACATGATTTCCATCTTCTTAAATGCACTGAGACTTGTTTTGTGTGCCAACAGATGATCTATCCCTGAGAAAGTTCTATGTGGACTTGAGAAGAATGTGTATTCTGCTGCATTTGAATTGACTATACAGATCCATGAATCCATCTGGTCTAATGTTTCATTTAAGGCCACTGTTTCCTTGTTCACAGGACATCTATTCATTGATGTAAGAGGAGTTTTAAAGTTCCCTACTATTATTGTGTTGCTGCAAATTTCTCTTTTTAGGTCTGTTAATAATTGCTTTGTATATTTTAATGCTCCTATGCTAGGTGCATAAATATTAATAACTGTTATATCTTCCTGATGACTTGTCCCCTTCATCATTATATAATGTCCATCTTGTCTCGTTACCTTTCTTTGGCTTGAAGTCTATTTTGTCTGATATAAGTATGGCTATACCACTTTCTTTTGGCTGCCATCTGCTTGGAGTATCATCTTCCATCCCTTCTTTTGTGTCTATGTTTGTCTGTTGAGCTGGAGACAGTGTATAGTTTGGTCTTGTTTTGTAATCCATCCAGCCACTCTGTGTCTTTTGATTGATGAATTCAATTCATTTACACTTATGGTGATTACTGGCAAATGAGGACTTAGTAGTGCCTTTTAATCTTTTGTTTTCTGGTTGCTCTATTTCCCCATTGTTTCTTTTCCTTGTGTTTCTGTCTGCCATTTTGGTTTGGTGGTTTTGTATGATGTTTTTCTCAGTTTCCTTTTCTTTTCTTTTTTTTTTTATGTTTCGTGTCTCTGCTCTAGATTTATGTTTTGTGGTTACTGTGAGGTTTGCATAAAGTATCTCATAGATAAAATAGTCCTTTTTATGCTGAGAGCACCTTATCTTCACTTACTTGTACAGGTCTGTCCTTTTCATCTTCCCCTTTTATGTTCTAGTTGTCATAAATTATCCCTTTTTCAGTTGTGAGTTTGTTACCAAGTTGAAGCAGCTATATTTTTACTGCTTTTTCCTCCTTTTTAACTTTTATGCTGTAATAATGTGTTTAAAAACCTATTCTGACTGAGTTGTGATTTTTCCGATTCTATTTTTACCTAACTCAAGGTTTTGTGTACTTTTGCCTTTTCATTTCAGGCAGAAGAGCGCCTTTGAACATTTCTTGTAAGGCAGGTCCAGTGGTGATGAACTTCCTCAGCTTTTGTTTTTCTGGGAAAGCCTTTGTGTCTCTTTCATATCTGAAGGGTAACTTTGCTGGATAGAGTATTCTTGGCTGACAGTTTTTGTATTTCAGTATTTTGAGAGTGTCATTCCACCCCCTCTTGGCCTAGAGTGTTTCTGTTGAGAAAACTGCTGATAGCCTAATGGGGGTTCCTTTGCAGGTTATCATCCTTTTTCCCCTGGCTGCCTTTAAAATTCTTTCTTTGCCATTGACTTTTGACAGTTTTAATATGATGTGTCTTGGTGAAGAAGGTCTTTTTGTGTTGAGGTAATTAGGTGTTCTCTTAGCTTCATGGACTTGTATATCCAGTTCCTTCCCCATGCTCGGGAAGTTCCCACTTATTATTTCTTTATATTCTCTATTTATCCTTAATTTTTGCCATTTTAATTGCAATGTGCCTTCATGTGGTCCTCTTTGGGATTCTCTGCTCTTCTTGGACTTGGATATGTTTCCTTTCCCAGGTTAGGGATATATTCAGCTATTGTATCTTCAAATATGTTCTCTGCCCCTTTCTCTCTCTCTTCTCTTTCTGGAACCTCAAAAATGTGAATGTTAGTATGCCTGGTGTTGTGTCAGATGTCTCAAACTGTCCTCACATCTTTTTATTCTTTTTCCTGTTCATCTTCAGTGATTTCCACTACTCTGTCTTCCACCGCACTGGTCCATTCCTCTGTACCATTTTGTCTACTGTTGATTCCTTCTAGTGTATTTTTCATTTCAATGATTGTATTCTTCACCTCTGTTTGGTTGTTCTTTATATTTTCTAACTGCTAAAAAGTTCTATTTTCTCTCTCTGTTCATCCATTCTTCTTCTGAGTTCTCTGATCATCTTTACAATCATCACCTTGAACTCTTCCTTGGGTAGATGGACTATCTCCACTTCACTTAGCTCTTCTGGGGTTTAAATCTTATTCCTTTGCTTGGAACGTGTTCCTCTGTTGCCGCATTTTGCCTAACTTGCTGTTTTTATTTCTGTGTATCTGGTAGGTTGGTTGCTGGTGTGTGGGCTAGGTCCACAGGCAACGGGGCTGTGGTTGTCCTGGGGTTGGTGTTCGCCCACTGTTGGGTGAGGCTGGCTCCAAGGCTAGAACAGGCTCATTGGTGGCTGGGATAGGGGATTCTGGGTCTGGTGCGTGCCCTCTGGTAGGTGAAGCTAGATCCCAGGGTCTCTGTGTGCAGGGCCCTGGGTGTCCCAGATCTAGTGCCTGCCCAATGGTGTGTAGAGCCTGGTCCTTGGCCCTCTGGTGGGCAGGGCTGTGTCCAGGGGAAGGTGTGGGCTCAGGGGGTCTTAAGGCTGACTGTCTGCTGTTGGGTGGGGCTGTGTCCCTGCCCAGTTAGTTGCTTGGCCTGAGGCGTCCCAGTCCTGGTGCCTTAGGGCTGGGGGGGAGTGGTGGGCCTGGGTCCTGTGGCTAATAAGCTACAACAAGGATTCCCAAATGGCGCTTGCCAGCAACAGAGTCCATGTGGCAGAACGAGCTCCCAGAAGTGGCTGCCACCAATGCCTATGTCCCCAGGGGTGAGCTCCAATTAACTGCTTCCTGCCTCTTGGGGAGACTCTCCAAGATCAGCATGTGGGTCTGACCCAGGCCCCTTTCAGATTACTGCTTCTGCCCTGGGTCCTGGAGCGGGTGAGATCCTGTGTGAGCCTTTTAAAAGTGGAGTCTCTATTTTCCACAGCCCTCTGGCTCTCCCAAAAGTAAGCACCGCTGGGCTTCAAAGCCAAAAGTTCTTGGGGCTCATCTTCCTGGAGTAGAAGCCCCAGGCTGGGGGGCCCAATGTGGGACTCAGACTTTTTGCTCTTTGGGGAGAACCTTGCAATTGTAATTATTCTTCCATGTGTGGATCACCCACCCAGCGTATGGGTCTTGCCTATACTGCGACTCCCCACCACCTACCCATCTCGTGGTTCCTTCTTTACATCTTTAGTTGTAGAAGATCTTTTGCAGTAGGTTCTGGTCTTTTTCATCGACAGGTGTTCCATAAATAGTGGCAATTCTGGTGTGCCTATGAGAGGAGGTGAGCTCACACCATATATAAAAAGTAACTAAAAATGGATCACAGACTTAGCTATATAGAAGCTTAATCTCTAAAATTTCCAAGAGAAAACAGGAGACCATCTGAGTGACTTCTAGTTAGGCAAGGACTTCTTTAAAAAGGACATAAAAGGCACAACTTACAAAAGAAAAAACTGATAAACAGAACTTCATCAAAATTTAAAAACATTTTGCTCTTCAAAATGAAGATAAAAATAAAAGATCCAAAAAAAAGGGCAAGGCACACAACAGGGAAGAAATTTTTGCAAAACAAGTAGTTGATAACAGACTTGTATCCAGAATGTATACAGAACTCTTACTACTCAATAAGAAAACTAACAAACCACCCCCACAAAACAAGCAACAGATGTGAACACATATGAATGACAAATAAGTACACAAGAAGACAGCCATCACCATTAATCAACAGTCAATAAAACCGCAATGAGGTATCACTGTGTATACACTGGAATGGCTAAAATTTAAATGATGGACAATACCCAGTGTTGGCCAGGATGCGTTGCAATTGGAGCTCTCATATGTGGCTGATAGGAATGCAAATGGTACAGCCACGCTGGAAAACAGTTGGCAGTTTCTTATGAAGTTAACCGTATACTTACCACGTGACCCAGTGATTTCACTCTGAGGTATTTACCCAAGAAAAACGAAAACATATGTCCACAAAAAGACTCATACACTAATGTTCACAGCAGCATTATTCATAATAGCCCCAAACTGGGAACAACCGAATAACCATCAACTGATGAATTGCTATCCATACAATGTAATTCCACTTGGCAATAAAAAGGAACAAATTACTGATATACACAATAAGGATGAATCTCAACAGCACTATGCTGACACAAAAGACTGCAAACTGGATGAGTTGATCTATATGAAGTTATAGAAAGAGCAGCATTAAAGTGACAGAAAGTAGATCAGTGCTTGCGAGGAGGTGGAGGATCAGGGCAGCAGACAGACTGCGAACGGTCACAGCCTGGAAACGTTCTATATGGTGATGGTGGTGGCGGTTACACGAATGTAGACAATGTGTGAGAATTCTTGATTTGTACCCCTAAATTTGGTGAATTGATTGTATGTAAATATACCCCAATAAAGCTTACAAAAAGGAAAAAAATACTTTCATGCCAGGACCAAAACCAGACAGCCTGTTACGTAGTCACCTCCTGACCACAGAGTGTGAAGGATGTGTCATTTTGATCCACTACCTGCTGCTGCAGAACCAGCTCCCGGAGGAGAAGCCTCATGCAGTGACACCGTAGACAGTTCAGTGGTAGTAAAATGATCGTTCTTATTCTCACTGTTGAGACTGACAGGCTGCTAGAAAGTAAGGACACAAGAAAAGATTTGAACATCTCAAACATCCTGTTACAAAATAACTGGCAGATCTTCAACTTCACATGTTGAACAGAAAAAAAGGTATATACATAACTGAGAAGTAAAACATTTTCAGCCTGCCCCCAGGAATGTGGTCAAAGTTCCTTTACTTATAATATTAAAGATACCACTGCTTTTTGAGCACCTATTACATTCCAGGAACCATACAGGTATGTGCTTTATTATTATGTTTTGTCATTCAGAACACATATATTGAATACTTTATATGTTCTAAGAATTGTTCAAAACACTAGTAATATAATAGTGAACAAAACCATGTTCCAGCTATCCTGAGCTTATACTGCATGGGGAGAAGGGCTATATAAATATTACTTAATTTAGTCCTCAGAAAAAGCCATGAAGTCTTAATCTTTCCATTTTTCAAATAAGAAAACAAAGGCATAGAAAGGTTAAATAACTTGTGTAAGCTAAGCCACCTAACCTGTGGCAGAGCCAGGATTGGAAGCCAGGTCTGATTCCGCAACCCAGGCTTTGCATTAGATTTCTAGCAAGTGTACTAATATCAGGCTTTCAAAATTGAGCAAACTTTCTTGATTTGGATCATCAGATTCTGAACATTTGTTTAAAATCATTATTATACCTCGAAGGGAAGACTGAAGAAAAACTTTGCGTAAATATTCATGCTTGTCTTGGATCCTATACCTAAGTATAGGAAAGTCTTATCCCAAAATGTAACCTGACAAGTAAATCTGAGAATGACTTTTTAGGTAAAGAGATGAAAAGTTAAAGGAAAGTGACCCAAAATTTTTCGTTTTAAAAAATGACATGTGTAAGTATAAAACTATATAAACTGACTACTTTACTGATAATTAATGACAAAAATGAGCTCCTACGCCCTCCATCCAGACCTGGTGTCCTACAACTGTGTCTGAAAAAGTAAAATTGCTACCACTGGGGTTATGGGCTGGTTAGACAGGAACAAGCCATACTGATAAGACATGGATAAGATAAGTCTTATCAGTATGGCTTGTTCCTGTCTAACCAGCCCATAACCCCAGTTGTAAGTAAGAAAACACATCTTATAGGCAATGCACACTTAAGTTTAGTACCTGGATATCAAATTTTAAAGCAGAGGGGAAATCCAGTTCACAAAGAAAATCTGAAAGATAGCACTTTGGGGAAAACCTCGCAAAGTATGTAAGAACTCAGTACACAGCAGATTCTTTCACTGCAGCTTTTTTTTTTTTTTTTTTTTTTTTTGCGGTACGCAGGCCTCTTACTGCTGTGGCCTCTCCCGTTGCGGAGCACAGGCTCCGGATGCACAGGCTCAGCAGCCATGGCTCACGGGCCCAGCCACTCCGCGGCATGTGGGATCTTCCCGGACTGGGGCACGAACCCGTGTCCCCTGCATCGGCAGGTGGACTCTCAACCACTGCGCCACCAGGGAAGCCCTCACTGCAGCTTTTTAAATGGAGTCTGAAGGATATACTGCATGTTTCTGCAGAACAAAGTCTCAACCTCAGCTGTAATACAGTTACCCATCTAGGCCATTAGTCTTGAGCCTAAGTGCAAAAACCTTAATTTTAATAAGAGGACGCACATTTATTTTCTCTCTTGTGTGTTGAAAGTTAGTGTCACTTACATACTCAGCTTCTGGGGACGCACAGGATCTGGACCTGTCCTCCTGCAGCAGGTCGAGCTGGAGCGGGGAGCTGCTCTTTGAGTTAATGAGGGGGTGCCCTTCATTCTGGGTCCCCCACTTTCCCTCGCCGCTCCTTTGGCTGATGGCTGAAGATGGTGGGCCTGGATTTGGAGGCACTGCTGATACCGAGGCGGGTATTTCAGAAGAGCCTGCTGCTCCCAAGAATGGATATGGGGAGAATGGTGGTAACAAGAGAGGACAGATAGGGGGGTCATGCAGGAAGATGTTCATAAAAGCATCTAGGCAAGCAGAGGGCAGAGCTGGGAAAGACTGCAAGCCATTGGGGAAAGGCGGCTCAGGCAGACTCTGCAGCGCAGTTTCTGAGGCTGCACGTTCTCTCCCCAGGGAGGTCACGGTTGGGAGAGGAAGGGCTTGGACGAGGCAAGGTGCCTGGCTGGGAACCACCACTGCAGCCTGGAGCGATGGGCCAGAGGCATGAGGAGAGGAGGTGGAGGAAGGGCACCAGGGCTGTCCATCCTGGGCCTCTCCTACGAGGTGGGGACAGAAGTCATCCTTAGTGCCCTTGCTGTCCGACCACATGAGCAGCTTCTTACGCTTGTGCTTCCCCTTCCTGCAACCAGCGGATCGGGTAGGCTTGGAAGCAGAATCTCCTGAAGGGTAAAGAGGAAGGTGTGTTACAGAAAACTAAGCCAGAACGGAAGAGAAGGACAATGTTGATAGATAATTCTAAGTAGATTTTACAAGGAATAAACATTGGCCGATAGTAACTGTGTCCACTACAGGGATGACAGAAAATAGCTCTAAAAAGATGAACAAGATCCTGGGTAAAAGCTGTTGCTATAAAATAAACTTATTTCAGTATCTCTCAATCAGTTTCTTACAAGCAAAACTCCTATACTCCACTCCGTATCTCCCAGTACTCACGTATGATTTATAAATTTGACAACTACGCTGATAAAGGGAATATATTTTTAAAAATGTAACTACCTTGAACTTCTGAATATGTAGCTTTGTTTCTGCTTTCTTGCTGAAGATAGGAGCTGTAGGGCGATGACAGAATCTTGTCCCGGAATTGATCCACATAACTCTGTTCTTCCTTCTGCGTGTGGGCTGACAGCACAGCCTTTGTGAGCCCTATGTGTTTAAACTGTTCTGAGGCCAGTGGAGCTGGGTGTGTGCTGAGGGTCCAGGGTTCACAGGGCAGGGTGCCAAGCTCTGCTGGACTCAATTCTGATGAAGTGGAGGAAGACAGATTTAATTTTAACTCCTACCAGTTATTTTGTGTTTATTTACTTTCACTAATTTAGTTATCTTTCAATAAATGTTTACAATCATTACAACAGCTGGAATATAAAACCTTCATCAATCTAGCAGATAAATTTTTAATTTTCTGCCTTTCTTTATACTCTTTGTACACCTGTATATGTTTTAGAGTTGTAATACTCAATGTGCATACTTATTTAAATCTTGCTTTCATTGTAAATATTCTTCTATCTCCCTGAATTCTCCAAGAAATTGTTATGTTTGGATTTATTTTTCTTAATATGTAATATATCCACGTGGTTCAAAAATCAGCATGTATTAGAAAGACATTTAGTAGCTTCTCCCTATCCCTGTACACAATCTGCCTAGTTCTCATTTATTCTCCCCATAGAAAACCATTTCTTTTATTTCCTTATATATCTGTCTACTTTCTTTACACATCTATAAATAAGCATGAATACAGAGTCTTATTCCTCACCTCCATGTTTACCCAAACGGCATATAATCTTGTACTCTAGCCTGCAATGTGTTTTTTCATTTAACAATATCCCTTTTATCAGTGCATCACATATGATGTATTTATGACTTTTTACTAAAGTAAGCATCTGTAGATGGATGCTGAGTTGCTTCTAAACATTACTTCTTCCAGGTACAAAAGACTTTATGGTGGATACTGGTGGGTTCTCCCAGCGTCCATTCCACCTCTCCCCTGCTGTGTGGTACTGAAGTGTGGGTGGGCATGCCCCCATTCCGCTTCCAGAAACAGGCACTGACTAGTGTAAGTCAACACAGCAGAAGGACTTCGGATTTTGGCCAAGATGGAGGAACAGGGACTAGACTGACCTTCCCACCTGAAACAACCAGGAAGGGACTAAATATATGAAACAATAAGTTCCAAGACACTGAACATCAGGTAACAAAGGAGAGTGCCTCCTAAGGGATGGAAAACAAGGTGAGCCCCACATCTGCCCAGCTTACTGCCTTGAGAGTTTCTGAGGAGCAAGGTGGGGAAACCAGGTGAGCCTCGTGGGCTCCCTGGGGGCAGAGGCAGAGCTGAGAGTCTGGGGAGGCCACGGTGGCTGGATTTTCAGGAAGAGAAGTGTAGAGGAGAGCTGCACAGAGGGGACTCCAGACAGCTGCAGGGACCCCAGAGTCCTCACCAGTGGAAAGATGGGAGGAAAAAAATCACCTGAAAGGATCAGACCGAAGCTCACACCACCTGGAGCACAGGGCTCACTCGCAACAGCCAGACTAGAAAAATCTCATAATCCATGGGCAATGGGTAGAATGCTCTGAAGGGTCTTGCCTCAGTAGCAGAGAAGAATTAGGCCTACCCTACACTGCTCTGGTCCAGCCTAACCAATTTTAAAAGCAAAGCCTGAAAAGACCAATCTGTTTCCACCTAGCTTAACTGGGTCCCAGAATAAGGCTCAATGGTGCTCACAGCAATACAGAAATATTCAGCACCCAATCCCAGTATCTGTCATCCAATCAAAGACTAGGCATACAAAGGAGCAGGAAAATACAACCCACAATAAGGAGAAAAATTAATCAAGAAAAACCAACCCTGGGCTGGAAGAGATGTTAGAATTGGCAGATAGAACGTTAATAGTTATTATACTGTATTCCATACAGCCACAGGGAAGATTAAATATGTTATATAAAGACATGGAAGATATATTTTAAAAACATCCAAACAGAACTTCTGGAAATGAAAACTAAAATATGTGAGTTGGAAAATATACTGAATGGAAATTAACAACAGATTAGATATTGCAGTAGAAAATACCAGTGAACCTGAAGACATAGCAACAGAGACTGTCCCCAAATGAAACAAAGACCTAAAAAATTGAAAAAGACTTAAATGAACAGAGCATCAGTGGACTGTGAGACAACTTCAAGCAGCCTGTATACCTATAACTTGAGTCCCAGAAAAAGAGGAAACAGAAAAAATTATTTTAAAAATAACGGAAAACATTTTCTTCTATTTGATGGAAACTCTAAACCTAAAAATCCAAGAAGCTCAACGAACTCCAAGCACAAAAAACATGAAGAACACTACATCACGGACATCACAATCAAATTCTTTTTTAAAAAATTAATTAATTAATTAATTATTGGCTGTGTTGGGTCTTCGTTGCTGTGTGTGGGCTTTCTCTAGTTGCGGTGAGCAGGGGCTACTCTTCACTGTGGTACACGGGCTTCTCGTTGAGGTGGCTTCTCTTGTTGTGGAGCACGGGCTCTAGGTGCGCGGGCTTCAGCAGCTGTGGCACATGGGCTTCAGTAGCTGTGGCATGCAGGCTCAGTAGTTGTGGCTCATGGGCTCTAGAGCGCAGGTTCAGTAGTTGTGGTGCACAGGCTTAGTTTCTCCATGGCATGTGGGATCTTCCTGGACCAGGGATCAAACCCATGTCCCCTGCATTGGCAGGCAGATTCTTAACCACTGCACCATGAGGGAAGTCCCTCAAATTCTTGAAATTAATGATGAGGAGAAAAATCTTACAAGTAGCCAGAAAAAAGACATGCAAACACTACATATGACAACAGACTTCCTGTCAGAAACAATGCAACTGAGAAGACAGTGGAGCAGAATCTTTAAGGTACTGAAAGATAAACACTGTCAACCTAGAATTCTATGCTCTGATAAAATGTCTTTACAACGAGAAGGTGAAATAAAGACATTTTCAGACATACAAAAATGGGAAGACTTCATCATGAGTAGACCTGTACTACAAGAGATAGAAAAGGAATGCCCTCAGGCAGAAGGAGAGTGATGTCAGATGAATCTACATAAAGGAATGAAAAGCGCTGGAAGAGATAACTACAGGGGTAAACATTTAAACCTCTTTCAAAGATAATGACTATGTAAGTAAGCATAATAACAATGTAGTGTGGGATTTCTAACATATGTAGAAATATATGCCAACAGACAAAGGCCAAAGGGGGGAACTGGAAGTATATAGTACTTTAAGGTTCTTATACTATGCATTAAGTGGTATAATATCTCCAGAAGGTAGACTGGCAAAAATTAAATATATACATCATAAACTCTAAGCAACCACTAAAATAAAGCCCACGTTAAATACCAAGACACACATAGGTTAAAAGTAAACGGTGGAAAAAGATATAACATGTTAACACCAAGTAAAAAAAAAAAAAAAAAAAAAAGAACGCTGGAGTGAATACAGTAACGTAAGACAAAGTATATTTTAGAGCAAAGAACAGACAAGGGATAAGAAGGTCATTTCACAATGATAAAAGGATAAATTCATCAAAAGGACACAGCAATTCTAAACATTTATGCACAAAGTAAGAAAGCTTCAAAATGCATGAAGCAAAAACTGATAAAATGGCAAGGGGAAATAGACAAGCCCACAGTTACAGCCAGAGACTTCAACACTCCTCCTGAGGTACAGCAAGTATTCAGAAAACTGGGGGATAGAGAAGACTTGAACAAGACTATCAACCAACCTGACCTAGTTTATACACTGGGCAGAATAAACATCCTTTCCAAGTGCATACAGAACAGTTACCAAGGTAGACCATATACAGACCATAAAACAAGCCTCAATAAATTTAAAAGAATTCAAGTTTTGTATTTTCTCTGACCAAAATGGGATTAAATTAGAAATCAATAACATAAAGAGGTCTGGAAAATCTCTAAATATGCTTTTTAAATAATATATGATGATATATATATATGACATTTGTGATAACGTAAATGATTTCAAAGAAGATATAAGAAGGGATATCAGGCAGCATTTGAACATGATGAAAATGAAATGAAATACATCAAAATGTGTGAAGTGCAGCTGAGAGCAAAAGGAATATTTACACTAAAATCCACTAGGGAAGAAATATCTGAAATCAGTGACTTCAGCTTCCATCTTAAGAAACTGGAAAAACAAGAGCAAAAGGTAAAACAAAAGTAAGCAGAAGAAAGGAAATAAGAAAGATCAGAGTAAAAATCTGTTAAGTATTGTAGAAAACAGAAAAATAATAAAGAGAAAATCAATAAAATTTAAGCTGGCTCTTTGCAGAGAGCAGTAAAATTGATTAAACTCTAGCAAGACTGATGAGGAAAAAAAGAGCAGATATAAGTTACCAATTTCAGAAATGATAGAGGAAACATCACTAGAGACCCTACTATCACTAGACATCAAAAGAATAATAAGGGAACATTATAAACAACTTTTTCCAATAAACTTGACAACTTAGACAAAATCGACCAGTTCTTTGGGACATACACACTAACAAAGATCACTCAACAAGAGGTAGAAAACCTGAATAGCCCCATATCTACTTAAAAAATTGAATTTGTAGTTATAAACTTCTCCACCAAGAAAACTTCAAGCCCAGACGGCTTTACTGGTGAGTTTGAGCAAACATTTAAGGAAGAAAAAATACCAATTCTATATAAAGTCTTCTAGAAAACTGAAGAGAACAAAACACTTCCCAACTCATGCTATGAGCCCAGGAGTATCCTGATACCAAAACCAAAGTCATTAAAACAAAACCAAACAAAATGACAGACCAATAGCTCTCATAAACATAGATCTCGAAATTCTTATGAAAATTTTAGCAAAATGAATCCAATATATAAAAAAGGAAATACATCATGACCAAGTGGGGTTTAACCCAGGAATGCAAAGATATTTTAACATTTAAAATTGAAGAAGACACAAATACATGGAAGGATATTTCATGCACATGGACTGGAAGAATCAATATTGTTAAAATGTCCATGCTACCCAAAGCAATATACAAATTCAAGGCAATCTCTATCAAAATTCCAATAGCATTTTTCAGAGAAATAGAACAAACAGTCGAAAAATTTGTATGGAAACATCAAAGACCCTGAATAGCCAAAGCAATCTTGAGAAAGAAGAACAAAACTTTTGCCCAGCAAAGGAAACGATCAACAAAATGAAAAGGCAACCAACTGAATGGGAGAAAATATTTGCAAA